AGGCGGCGGCCGCTCTGGCAGCAGCCATGCCAGGGGCTGGAGGGGCCAAATCTGAAGCCAGAGGCAACGGCCCTCTGCCTGGAGGAGGAGGGCTCATGGAGGAGATGAGTGCCCTGTTAGCAAGGAGGTAGCGACACATCATATATTACTCTTCGATTCAGTACGTCTCAAAATAGGCACTTGAGTCATATGAATGAATTTCAGATCTTGTTTCATATACTACAGAAAAGTGAAACTTGACACAGTTGCCATACAGTAGATTTAGCAAACCCCAATGTTGGTCGCAATGGATTTTGTTGTGCCACCTGAAGAATAAGTTCATGTACTCATCACTCTCACTATTCCTCAGTATTATGAGATGATATGTAGTAAAATCGTAATTTAAATGCACTTTGTTGCTGACAGAGAAGTATCACTGTAAGATCTAGAGAAATCTAAGGAATTTAGGTTTTAAAAATGTGGAGTTCAGGAGGAATTGTGTGGTCTGTGCTTTATGATATTAACATTAAACATGATGATATGTTTTTAAAAATAGCAACTGTTTTTCAGAAATAATTCTGGACTCTGTCTTACAGGAGAAGAATTGCAGAGAAGGGCTCATCACCTGAACCTGACCAGAGATCAGTAAGTACCATTAGATCCTTCTTGTCTGCTGTATTCATGGGGTAGGACTGGATAAGTCTGACTTCTTCCTACTCCATTCAAGCATGTACTAGGTATAAGCAAATTGATATTGGATTAGCATTTGTTGGATATGTGTAAACTTATGTGTGTTGACATATCAACTGTCTTTACATGCTTGAAAGAATAAATCAATTTGACTGGCTGGCAGAGGCATACAGCTGCGAAGAAGTAATTCTAGTTTTTATTTTGATGTCAGAGCTGTGACACCCTGAAGAAGCTGCCCTGCCCTGGGGTTTATATAAAACACACATATGAGACAGCTCTAGTTTTTTAGAAGTATCCTTCATTTTACAGTGTGATGGAGCTTTAGTCCGGTTTGCAGATCTCATTGTTTCACCTGTGATCTTCTTTCTTGCTTTCTGACTTCATCTTCACTCACCATTAAAGCTTCCATCTCACTGTCCTGGCAGCAGAAACTGATCCCTTTTATAAGCTGTAGTTAGTGTCACAAAAAAACACCTTAAGGGGATCATTACACTGTAATGAAGCAGGAGGTGAAATACCGTGGCTCACCCATTGCTCTCCAGCATTCCTGATTGTCAGGTTTAATTATAGCATTGCAAGATCTTTGGGCATTTTTATTGCATTTATCTCATTTCTTCGACTCACCCTCCACCTCTCTTTTTGAGCAGATGGACACTTGGTCTAATTAGGCTTTCTCTTCCCCTGAAGAAGCGCCCTGTGAGGGGGGTGCTCAGTAACGTGGCATTATCAGGGCATGTTGTGATACGTAATTAGCAAACAGCAGAGTGGTGACTAAGGTTATGATGGGAAAGAGGTTATGTGAACTGCAGCTGTCAGCACTCTATGGTATAGATGTGGATTAAACAGCCTCTGTTCCACACTACAGCATACTGTATGAGCTTGATTAAAGAAGAAGGCTCTGCTCTTACAATTCAATATCACCATATTCCCCAAAGCCTCACCACTGACATCCTCTTCTGAGGAAAAGAGGGAGGTTGGAGAGTCAAAACAAGTGATGTAACCACCTCAGAAGGGAAGATTAAAAAGCCACGCATAACACCCAAGCCTCACATGAAACAGGATGGAAAAAAGTTGGATGCGCTTTACATATCATCAGTACCTGCCCTCAAACAGCACTGGGTGTCTTAGAAATGAACAGGATATAAAAGTGATGACAGTTTGTTTAATCTGGGAATAGCTCACTAATAAACTCAGACAGAATTGCTACGGGCAGACTTTAATTTCAACTGTATAAACATTAGGTTTTATTACAGTTTATTGGCACTTTATTGGAACAGAATGCAAAGTACTCACAAAAATATTAAATAAGAAAGAGAGTGTTATTTATGCAGTTTTAATCTTTGTTTTGTTTGTGTCCCTGTGCCACTGGGGACCAGTGCAATAAGCTGTAAACACAATGTCGCCATCCTATCCCCATATACAGCTGATAGGGCTAACATGTTAGCAAATAGTGGATTATTTACACATTTAGTTAAAAGCAAACAACATTTTTCTACACAAGTCCAATATTTACTCTCCTGTTTTGATATCCAGAAACTCCTGAGGGAGATAACTGCCTCTTTAGCTGCTAAATGCTCCACTATCTTCACCAGCTAGTTGCTTACTTTGTTGGCTTCTGAGTGCTGGGCAGGCGGTGTACTTTGGGTTTATTAGAGTTTTTTGCTGTCGTTGTTTAAAGCAGCTGCCTGCTGCTGCTGGAAACAAGGTGGAGGAGAATGAATTAAACAGTAAAGTTGCAAACAAAGAGCAAAAAGTTAAAACAGTCCAGACAGTAGAGCTAAAATCAAGGGCTGCTTATATAGTCATGTACATTTCCTCATCATTTTTACTGAAACAGTATCATATAAATCATATACATTTAAAAAGAATGTCAGTTGCAGTTAAACACACACACACACACACACACACACACACACACAAAGAAAAGATTATTTGAATGTTGGAAAGGAGTTT